GTGCCATAAGATAAGATATTATCAATGTCATTATCATCATCTATCATCATCAACTTATTCATTATTAGGATCACCAATTATCCCACTATCATCATTACAATCATCATTGCAATTATTACCATCATCATCACCATTATCATAAACAACTGTTATATTAGGATAGACACCAAATACACTTAGATAAACACACTTTCAGATACAGATACAGATTAATTTTTATTGTCCAATAATTTTGGCAATTACATTGCTCACTTGCTATATAATTAATTAATTGTCCTCTGTCCTCATTCTACCACTTCTGCCTATGCTCGAGCCTACCATATACGCGTGGAGCTGATGGCTATTATCCTCTAAGATATTTTTTAAAACAATGGCAAGCCGTTCGTGGTAGTATGAGTCCAGCGACTGCACAGGAGAACCAATAACTTTCCCCACTCTACCCAGCACCCTTTCTCATCACCGATACGTAGAACATCAAACAATGTATAGCTAAGCCTAAATTTACTATGATCTCCTTCTAGATCTCGGTAAACAACTTTGCACATGATTGTTGTCATGCCACTGCGTCCAAGCCACTTTCTCAATTTCTAGATCATTATGTGCAATACTTGAGAATATTGTATAGTTTATTAAAGGTTATGGTTATATATTCTTGTTTCCCCTCTTTTTTAATTGTGCAATTAAGGATTCAAAGCTATTACAGGTACCTAAATTGTACACACTTGTTCATTGTAAATATTGTCTTATTTTTACATTTATTGTGCCAATGTTATTTTGATAAATAGGCCTAAATAAATAAAAATAATGTTATTTTACTATCAATTAGTAAGCTGACAATTCTATTTTCTGTACTTGTTTCTTTTTATATTAAGCATTTTTAGTAACAGAATGCGAATGTATAACATTGACCCCAACAATTGTATTAACCAGGCCATGATATAGGCCTATATTATTACTATTTTATTCATCAGTAGCCCATGGACCCCACACACAATTATTTCCGTTTTTGCAAGGGTCAGCTTCTTCGGGAAAATTAGGCCCGTCAAATGGTTCGACTGATTCTTCGTAGTATCGAGCAAGTTTCTTCAACATGCATCTTACAAGTATCCTGTATTTGCTAGCAAGATTGTTTCGTTCTTCGGGGTCGCGTTTGATGTTGTACAATCGAACAATGTCACCCACGTCACCTTGCTCTGTTTCCAACCCTGCACCCGGTGGCGCGTACCAGCCAGCTTCACCTACAGTCAATAATAATTTCAATTCTTATATTTGTGTATAATATTCATTTTTTTGTCTGAAGTACAACAATATGTATTAGAATAATAAAACAGTAATAATTTTAAAAATAACAGTAATAATAATACCTTTGTTACTTTTGTGTTATTTTCATTCATTTTTGTGTGATTTATTTTTATTTTTATTAAATTCATCTCCTCCATCCTTATTATGATTTATTAATTTTCTTCTTACCGTTATCTCCTGTAAGTAGTTTATAGTTTCCCAGACGAATGGCAGCTTTGATCCGGACATCAAATGGGCTGTTACTCCAACTCTCTCCTCCCTCGGTCAATACTTCCAGGGGGTCAATGTTGTGTAAAAGTTCGATACGATTGGAACTTCTTCCATCCCTAAAAGTACATGAAAAACTTTTTGGGTAACAATGATAATTATAATAATAATTTAATTTAAAATAATGTCGCGGCGTGTTGGTAAGGAATTTATCGTGCTATGTTCCGGATTCAAGTCCCGGTAAAGGCTGAATGTGTTTTAATAATAGGCTATCATTGGTATATCACATATTTTGATTTAGCTAATGGGACCATCTACAAACAACTAATATATGTATCTGTATCTTAATAACGTAATAATGTGTTAACTCTAAAAATAATATTACTACAGTATTACTACAGTAATGTTTTTTATTTAGTGGATTTTGTTTCAACACCAATACAGTACTAAATACTGTTATTGTATAATTGTTTTGTATAACTTTTAGTCTCTTTTAGTTTAGTTGTTTTTTCTTTCTCATTGAACGCACCGAAATGTTGTGTGCCACTGAAACAAAAGTGTATGTTCAGTTGAATAAATAAATAAATAAATAAATATGCTTCTAGAAAGTTGGATTATTGAAATTATAAAAAAAAACTACTAGATCCGAGTTTCTTCGCACCACTGTGAATATACCTCACCTTGGCCTTTTACACTTTCTTCCTAAAAGTTAATCATCCCTTTCCTAGATTTTTATGTACCATTTCACTGAATTTTATGCTTCATTCCTTAATTTTTGCGTAATCTTGCTAACAGACAGACTTAGTCTTTGCCCAGTCAAGAAAGAACGGCCGTTTTTTCCTGTCAATGTTTTTTCATCGGTTTCATTATCCTGACCCCCATACTATTTGAAATAAGCTTGGGGACCTCATTACAATAATTAGAGATATACAGCATATTTGTCAACTTTGTTTTGGTGAAATTATCACCACAGATCTAAACCTTTCACGATCAATCAAGGGCCACCAAGAATTTGGCTAAGTGCGAGCGTTTTAGTCAGTTGTATGAAAGTGAGTGCATTGGTATTGGATTTACGGCTGTATATATCTGTATAGTCTATATGTATGTTACTAGCCTTGGTAGCGAAAGGCTGTGAGTTTGAATTCCACTGCAGACACTTATAAACTGAAAAGGAAAGGGCTGTGTTATTATAGCCTGGTTGTAAAACTGCTGAAATTAACTTTAGCGTGAAAAAGTAAAAGTAAATTTAGTTTTGGTTTTTCTGAATCAGCATACATATATGTTGTAACGTGGAATAATGAAATGTAGAGATGAAGAGAAACGTGTTGTACGTTGGTCGAGAAAACAATATAAATAGGAGAAACACCATAGATACATTTGTAATCAGTGAGAATAATTTTGAAAATAATTCTATTATTAACTCGCAGCCAATAAAGTTTATTGATGAGAGGAGCAGAGTGTGTACGAGGATCACATGAAAATACTAAGCGAGCAATTTCTGCAGTCTATCAATGTCTTTCTTAAAGAGACCACCATAGAGCAATTTAAAATAGTTAATTCGCGATAGCACCAGGGCTCTAATTGCTGCATGACAAGTATCTTGATTAACACTGGGGCGGATCCAGAGATGTCCAAAAAGGTGGGTGGGGGCGAAAGTTGGGCCGATCGAGACAACACTGTACTAGGGGGTCTGCGAAATGTTTTGTTCTAGACGCCCGAAAATAACATTTGAGGCGTTCTGGGCTATCATTTTTTTTCTTTTTCTCTCTTTTTTTCTTTCCCTTTAGACAAGGGGACCAGGGCCGGGCAGCCCCCACCCCCCAAATCCACCCCTGTAACAATTCTTCGAATCCTCCACAAGTTACGAAAATGGTAACGTACTATATACTGCTGCATGACAAGTATCTTGATTAACACTGGGGCGGATCCAGAGATGTCCAAAAGGGTGGGTGGGCGAAAGTTGGGCCGATCGAGACAACACTGTACTAGGGGGTCCGCGAAAATTTTTTGTTCTAGACGCCCGAAAATAACATTTGAGGCGTTCGTGGCTGTCATTTGTTTCTTTTTCTCTCTTTTTTTCTTTCTTTTTTGACAAGGGGACCAGGGCCGGGCTCCCCCTCCCAAAATCCACCCCTGTAACAATTCTTCGAATCCTCCACGAAAATGGTAACGTAGTATATACCTCATTCACCTGAGAACTTAAATCCAATTGTAACACTCAAGTTACGAGCACTTTTAGAGGCCTTTATGAGGAATCCATTAACATTGAGTTGGATATTCCTAACTAAAGCTAATGACTGTTGACTTCAGATGTACAGACCAGAAGCTCTGTTTTACCTTCATTAAGCTTTAGCTTATTCAATGTAATTCACTGTTGAATTTCAGTGATACAATTACTTGAAAAAAAAAAAAGAATCATCAATACTAAAAGGATCCAAAGGATTAAATTTCAGGTACAATTGTAGATCATTAGCATAGAAATGAAAGTTAACATCATGCTTCCTGATAATATATCCATGTGGGCTAAGGTATAATGTAAATAAGCAGAGCCCAACCACAGACCATGTGGGACACTACTCAAGTGCCCGGAAAGATGAATGACCACCAGGAAGCGTAACACACATAGATCTCCTTACCAAATAGGATCTAATCCACTGCAACGCACTATATATATTACATAAATCATTAAAGAAACAACTAAATGCATTCATCCATCCGTCTATCTACCCACCCACTTATTCACCCATACATTGCCTCACCACCCACCCAATCATTTGTCTATTTAACAATCGATCCATCCATCATCAATCTATCATTCTATTCAGTGGCGTGTCTAGAAGTTCTGAAGTAGGGATGCTGATGGGCTGTCTCTTATACACATCTAGATGTGTATAAGAGACAGATTTAACACTTAAAAACGTTAATAGGCAAAATTTACCGAATTAAGGTAATTTTGGCGACTATCTTGAACTAAGGCCAAATTCTAGGTGGCCCTCGGTTGATCTTGAAAGGTTTATGTACCAGATGAAAAACATTGACATAACCAAATAATATGCTACATTTCTCTAATAAATGTGATTGTTGGCGGCCATTTATGATTTTGGAGGCCATCTTGAATTATGGCGGCAATCTTGGATTTAAGGCCAAATTCTTGGTGACCCTTGATTATTCTTGAAAGATTTAGGTCTGAGGTGACAATTCCAAAAAAAAAAAGTTGACAAAACCGAATAAATATGCTGTATATCTCTAATAATTGTAATTTTGGCGGCTATTTTGGAGTTTGCATGGCGGCCATCTTGAATTTGAGGCAAAAATCTGGGTGTTAGAATGATGAAACTGGTGAGAAAACTGACAGAAAAAATGGCAGCTTCTCCTTTGTTAGGTGATGTTTAACAGTGGTGAATACTAAGTGGAGATAATAATGGTATCTAGCATTCACTGCAATAAATTTCTTTGCAGTTGCCTAAAAAGGCCTCCAATTTTGTAAGTACCTTATTGTCTCCCACTGATTTATACCGTCCAGCGGCAGTGTTCCCTCTGTGGTCCATCCAGCGATTCCTTCCACGAGCGTAGGCAACCAATCGCTGACGTGAATCAGTTCATAACTCACTGTTCCTTTTACTTTATCAGAGAGCAATGGACTGTGGACAAAACCGACACCGCGTATTCCCCCCTCAAACAGAGATCCTTTGAATGCACGAAGAGGCCAGTTGTAGGCAGAATTCCACACTGGTCCACCGTTATCTGAAGTTAAAAACATATATATATATATCGATTTAAATTTGTATGTAAATGTAATAAATAGCTAGGCCTACTCTGGTTGTTCGTACATTTAGCGCACATTCGTTTGAACAACTGGGCACTGTTCATTAGTTATTTGTTGAATTCCTGTGTAGTTTTTGTCATACAAACAACAGATGTTTGATAGAAATGTTTCTGAACATTCATTGCGCGATAAAAGTCAAGATTTGTGAATTAGATGGATGATTGGTCAGTTGTCGTATGATTCGTCACCAAATGGAACTTGCATATTTGTTGGGTCCTTCCCGATTGCGATAGAAACAGCTACATACGTAGTATAGCGTTTGCTGTAGCATTTTCATGGTAAATGCTTAGTTGCAACAAATACAGATTCAAATAACACGTGACAAACACTCAATTAAAAACGTGAACCTACCAGTTGTATAGATGATAATTGTATTATCGTAAATTCCATTGGCTTTGAGGGCCTCTGTTACATTACCAATGCCTTCGTCCATACAGGCCATCATACCGGCATATGTTCTACGATTGTCGTCCTCAATGATATCACGATAAGGTTCTGAGTACTGTTGGGGTACCTCAAGGGGAGCATGAGGTGCTTGGTGAGATAGCCACATGAACATCGGCTAAAATCCAAATAAATTATTTTTGTTAATGAAATTGTTGCTTGCATGTGTCTCTCCGCCATGCTGTCTATATTCCTGTCGTTGTTTTCATCTGTCCAGCCAACTAAATGCATTCATCCATCCGTCTATCTACCCACCCACTTATTCACCCATACATTGCCTCACCACCCACCCAATCATTTGTCTATTTAACAATCGATCCATCCATCATCAATCTATCATTCTATTCAGTGGCGTGTCTAGAAGTTCTGAAGTAGGGATGCTGATGGGAGTGCGAAGGTGAAGTGGGGGTCGGGGGTTCGATGATCAGTTGAGAAGAGCTAACTCGCATAAAGGGTGATGTTAGATGATTTTTTTAAATACTTGACCGTGATTTTTGGGAGTGCGACTGGGGAGGGGGCGCGAGTAATTTTTATAGGGGCTTGCACCCCCACCCCCCGCGCATCTCCTAGATACGCCACTGTATCTATCTACCTACCTTTGACTTAAACTTACTTTATCTGGGTCTTTGTTATTAATTAGATCAATCGCCTCATCGGTGTAAAGGTGTGTCGCATAGCTGCCGTTGTACTGCCACTGAGGTTCAAAATCTCGATAAAAATCTAACTGTCCCTTGGGGGTATCGTGCGAGAAAAAATACTCTGCCCCTTGCAGAAATCCTGAGAAAAAAATACAGAATTGGAAATTGATGCTGAGACCAATGTATTATAAGTTGTAAAAAAATTAATGTCTTATTAACTTCAACAACGATACATAAGTAGCCATCACAGATCACATGACACAGTACAACCACATACCTAACTGGAAAGTTAATATTTTGGAGAAAGAACCATCATGGTATGAACGAAAAATAAAAGAATCACTATGGATAAGAAAGAAAACGAACACAATGAACAGGGAGTTGATTGTCCGAATAGTTAAGTCAGGGGCACCGTAACCTTCAGTTATAATATCGGCGCTAGTTCGAATGGTTCACTCGCGATTGGTTCCAGTGAAGTTTTCGGATAAGGACTATAAATCGTAGGCCCAATGTACGCACTTGGCTCATGTGCACTTTAAAGAACCCAGTACATCCTTCAAGAATAGTATGGGGTTGTCCTGGTGTACTGGTGCATTCAGTCCCCTATCGTTTAATGGATATGACACTAGGATAGTAATTAAGTTCACAGATTGGCATATCCTTGGCGTCCGTGCCTAAATAAATGAAACGGGAAAAAAAAATAAAACGAAACGATGAGGGAGCGTATGAACTTTGTAATATATATGACGAACTCTTAAAGCAACCCCGAAGAGGCGGAGGACCCCGACGATCCGACCATAAGAACAAGGCGGAGGTCGCACGTCATCGCATTGCGATGACGTAATGACATCGCGTCAGTTAACTGATGAAGTTCGCCGTAGACAGACGAACACTTAAGTGAGTATATTTAAATTTGTTTAAACAAAAAAGAAATTAAAACAACTATTATTAATAATAATTCAATGAGGTTTAAATTTTTATTGCTGAGAAATATGTCTTGTTATGTATTTCTAATGCACTTCTTGCCGTGACTTATACATTTTAATGAATTATCATATTGAAAACTTATTTCAAATTATATAAAAATTCTTAGTATTTACACTAAAAGCGGAAAGATTTGACAAAATTTTGACATATTATATACAGTCAACATTTAGAAAAGCAGTGTGGGTGTAGTTTACAAACAATATTTTTACTTCAGCTTTGTCGATTGATTTCTTATGTGCTTGCTTTTCCTAGGGTCCGAAATAAGTTTAATATTTATTTGATTCTATTTTTTATTTCCTCCCGCAATTGCTCATAATATAATGTATACTTTTTTATATTTCTGTAAGTTTATAATGGATAGATTCAGTGTAATTACCAAAGAATGTATCAAATCCCCTGTTATTTGGCAGACATCCTTCGCGGTAGAGTCCGAGATGCCATTTGCCAATCAAATGGGTGGAGTAGCCAGCTTCTTGCATTTTTTCTGCTAATGTAACTTCGTCCAGAGGCAAGCAGGCCTTCTGATCCTGATCCAAGACACCATTCTGTAATCCCATTCGAATCTGTTAAAACAATAACGTAAACAGATACTCTGATACTTTATTTGTTTATATACATGTATACAGAGTCTTTTTTCCCGGTGACAAAAATAATTACATAATATAAGCTAGCTACAATAACTTCATATTTATTATTATTACCGTCCCCATTACCATGTCACCTTGGAGTTAAACGTGTAAATGGCATGCAAGAAAGAGTACCTATGGCGATTTATTTTCGTACTAATAAAACCAATGAGTTTTAATATGGGCAAAAAATGTATATTGAAGTTTACTTGTATAATTGGTTGTGGTATTTTCGTAATATAAAAGACCAACAATTATTGTATTTGTTTGCTTTTGTTAATGATGATTATAGTATACCCATAATTTAACCAAACTTCTGACACGTTCTGAATATACATCATAAAAAATACTATATGTTTCTATCTCAAAATATCATTCTGTGCTACTTCATTCTTGGAAGCTAAGCAATGCTTTTATTTTAATGATCCTCTCGAAAACTTCTGTTATCCTAAATAATAACAACATTTCCAATCCTCGCCAAATATTAAATTCTTGATCTCTCTACCCCTTAGATCTTAAACCATAGCTTTCTATAAATTGTTTGTATTACCGTAGCCTAGCACTCTTCTTTGTAATGTAGTCGTACCGTCTATTTGTTTACTGGAATTATGTGTTAGGCCTACTGGAATTATGTTCGATTATTATAGTCTTTAGCAGCAAAATAACGATTGAACTTTCAATCTTTAAATTAATTGCTCAATGGCCTACGAGTAAAAATGGCTGAAAAATATTTAGAGTTTTAAGCTGATTTACACCTTATCCAAACCGAAATTTAACCGCTTTTTCCGAAGCGCTTAACACCAACGCACAGTGGGCCAGGGCGAAATCAAAGTGTGCCAAAAGTCCATTTTGGTGACTATGGCTTTTACACTTGTTTTCACATGATTGAAGAATGGTATACCCTGGTGAATCTATCCTGAAAATATTTTACATTTAAACGAATTTTAAGGGTGGTATTTTTTAACAAATGTCGGAAATTTCTCTCTAAATATTTCAAATGCTATAATTGACTATATTATATAAAAACACGTTTTTTTTCTTACAGAAAATTCGGAATTACTTTAAAATGTACACGTCTCTTGTATATACATTGGGGAACACAAATATATGTTTTGGTTTAAATTTGAAGTTTGCATCAATAATAAATCGTTTTTTAAACGGCAGAAAAAATATTTAAAAACCTATTTTTAGAAAAATAGGAAAGAAAGTTTAGATTCATGTGGATTCATGCTTTAATTTTTACATCACCATCTTCAGTATAGTCTTAGCTTTATGATGGTACCAAATTTAGCTGCTATTTTTGGCAACTTTGCGAGCTAGATGCACTTTTATCAGTCTTGTTTTCGCACATTTGAGACACAGTTTAATTAGAGCAAACCGCAATCAGTAGGGATTTACGCTCGTCTACTCAACCAGTTCATGCAAAGCGTGGGAAAACACTCCTAAAATTGACAAACTGCTCGTGATTTAACAGTAGCAAATCTTGTAATACTGTGTTGCTGTTTAGAATACTTTATTAAATTTTGAGCAGCCTAATAATCCAAATATATATCATAATGAAGATGATATGCAGGCCTATATCTAGGCGTCAATTGTTTTTAACTTTATTCAAAGACACCCAAGACTTTGAAAAGCTTCCTGTTTCAACTTAAGAAGAGGTGCGCTACTACGCGAGTAGTAACGACCTTCCCAACAAACAATACTATGTTATGATAACGTGACAATAACGTCACAGTTACAACGTTACGTTACGTTACAGTTTTGTGTTGAAAACTTGATTTTGTAGAACCATAAATACGTACTGAACATAATTTCACAACGTTTGCACGTTCCTACAACGTTGTGTAAACGTTATTTTGTGACATACCTAACCACAACGTTAGCCACGAACGTTATAAGAACGTAAACACGTGCTTGCTGGGTTTCTAAAAAAATAACTCGTGGCTTGACAAAAGGACTCCATTTTCGAATGAAGTTATTATGTTTTGACACAGAACAGAAACATTCTTTCAACACCTAGAGAAAACCCACAAGAGACAACCCAAACCGGGACGTCCTATCGAAGTATGGGAGCAT